TTTAATAATGTCAAGGTCATAGACCGCTGTCCCTTGTGGTCGCGTAGATTGTTCTTGGAAGCGTGGCATTCCATTCGCGAACCGAACTCAATTAATGACTACGCGCATATACCAGACATTTACAAAATGCTAAATTAATCCCTAGCGAGTTCCTCACATTCTTATAGACATCTCATTTACATTTAGACGTCATTAACATTCATTTCATCACTGAAAAAGGTTATAGCATTTTAGCCGAAACGTCTATTTTAAGATTTTTAAGTCAGTGACAACAACTTTTAAGATTTTATGTTATGGCTTGAACAGTTACATTTACTAGGGACATGAATATCAAAGCAAAACAAAGAAGCAATTCTTTAGTATATTGTCTTATACATGTACATGTATATGAACATGCCCATTGATCAAGTTGAATTCAATGTAGACTTGTGTCTGGTAATATAATTTATGAAACTGAAACTTGTTAAATATAAAATGATTTTCCATGAATTTAAAATTAGTGGCTGAGAGAAAACTGTTTCATTGATTTAAAATAAAATAATGTTATCTCACACTTGTTCCTGCCACAACTTCTTCGCCAGAGCCTCCCTGATAGCTCCAGCATGACGAGATGAATCTTTTGTTTTGGTGCAGTTTCGCATAAATAACAATTCTTTGATCTCATCCCTACTTCTCCTCTTTTACGTGAAAGGATCAATTCTCAGATCCGGCTGGGGAGGGAGAGTATCATTCGCAGCAATACAGATGTTATGGAGAACAATACATGTTAGCGCACCAGCTTTACTGCATCTGGTTGGAATTCTAGCTTTCGATGTAACACCCTCCACCTGCTCTTCAGTTGACCAAGTGTTCATTCAGTTACCATCCTTGCACGGCTCAGCTGATAATTGAAATAACCCTGTTCAGGTGTAAGTCTTTCATTACCATATGGTTTTATCAACCATATTCTAAATGGAAACGCTGAATCTCCTAAAACCATTGGATAAACCTCAGTGTCTCCAATTGTTTTAGTAATTGGTGGTTTATATCGTTTTCCGTAATATCATACCACAGTTCAGTTTACTGAAAAATCACAGAATCATGTGAATTTCCAGGGAAACCAACACTTACCCGGATGAAGCGGTCTTGTGCATCAACAACTGCCATCATGACTATGGAGTAAAACTTTTTAAAGTTATGATATTCTTTACAGGTTTTCAGTCCACCTGGTGGACACTGAATAGGGTGTGACAGCCATCTACAGCACCCCAGCAAGAAGGAAACTGCCATAACATTTCCATATCAACCATTTTCTCTTTTAAATTCTGTTCAGTAGGTGGAAAATTAGCTTGCACTGACTCTTTCCATAGGTTTCTTATTATTACTTCACAAACGTCTATGACAATGTTGTGAACTGTTGCCACACTGAAATAGTTAAAACAGTGACTTTGAACGTTTATTTCGTTTCATTAGTATACAACAGAGAGTTCTGCGACCAGGACACAGGGACACCGTCACGTCACAATACCCCAAGAGGTTGACGTCAACAAAAATGATGACATCATAATCTAAATATAGAATAGTGACATCATCGAGATGGAGGAGTGTAGGGTGTCATTGGAGGTGTTACGTCATAATCTGAAAATAGGTAGAATGATGTAATAGAATTATTTTTAGTAACAGAAGTCATGTGATTTTCTCATTAAAAAGAGGTGAAATTTTAGGAATATATTAGTAAGCTTAACATGGGTCTCACTCTCTCTGCTCGTTGAATACGATTTAACACGTACCGCTTACTGGCTAGAAATCTGATCACTCCTATAAGTGAAATAGTTTTGCTGACAGAAGCCTCATTATGTGGTCTACCAGGTACCAAGCTTTCCAAGTTAAAGAACCTTCATTC